AGGACTTCATTAAAAATGATTATTATCTGGCCTCCACCATCCCTATAGTCAGCCTCATAGTTAGATGTGACCCAGATAAAAGGATTGCACACCTTTTTATTGAATTTTTAAACTTTCATTATTGTACAAAATTTAAGGCAAAAATATTCCCTTTTAAAAATAATCACATACCGCAGATAATAAAACAGCAAAACAACAAAAACATATTAAAAACCAAACATGAAGTAATAATTATGACAACAAAACGTAATTACTGTAAGGTAAGACTTGTATTTGCTTTTACTTTATCTTTGGTTTTTTGATGAAAAAAGAACCAGCCAGCAGCCTACCATCCCTGGTGGAGGCTGTGTCGGGCTGGGCATTGGAACACCCTAGACCGATTGTCCTGCATGACGATGTGGCCTCCACTCAGGCGATGGACCTAGTGTAATCCGTGGTGGCGCTGGGACTCTCCCAATATGTAACGACTCCCACTCACTGGGCCGGAAACACACTTGATCTGATCTTCGCGGCAGGGATCACAGTGGACTGGGTCACTGCCTCAGCAGTGCCATGGTCAGACCATCATGCCCTGAAGGCCCATCTGAATGTTTTACCCCGACCCTGTTTGGGCGGTGAGCAGATTTCAGCTTGCCCATGGAGCCGAATGGATCCTATGTGGCTTCAAATGACCCTGCGAGATCTGATGCCCCCGGTGGCTCGTTAGATGAGCTTGTGGAGGATTGGCACAGCTGACGCTTGGCAGCCATCACTGAGATCGCTCCCTGACACCCTCTGCGCCCTCACTCTAAGCTGGCTCCTTGGTTTACTCAGGAGTTGCGGCTGATGAAGCAAAGGCTAAGATGGCTAGAGAGACACTAGTGGTGCACCTGCGACAAAGCCACAAGAACATCTTATAGAACATTTATGAGCTCCTGTGAGATGGCAGTCAGAGTATTATGCTGCCACGATTGCATCTGCGAGCTCATGCCCAGCCCAATTATTTAGAATAATTTGGTCTATGACTGTTCTGCCACAAGGCAGACCAAATGTTAGGGAACTGGACAATGGCTGTGAGGCCTTTGCGAGCTACTTTGCAGATAAAGTCCTGTCGCTCCGCCATGACCTCCCAACCACAGCTGAGACAGTAAGTGAACTTGAGGTTCCATGCACGTCTTCTAGTCAGGTTATGGATTATTTCAGTCTGCTCAACTGGGAAGAAGTTGACAAACTGCTCTTAACTGTATGCCCTACCACATGCTGCCTTGACCTGTACCCATCATGGCTAATTAAAGCTGGCCGTGAAGGGTTTTGAATCCACAACTCCCTCTCAGAGGGACAGTTCCCCAGGGCAAAGTTGACAAACTGCTCTTAACTGTATGCCCTACCACATGCTGCCTTGACCTGTACCCATCATGGCTAATTAAAGCTGGCCGTGAAGGGTTTTGAATCCACAACTCCCTCTCAGTGGGACAGTTCCCTAGGGCACTCAAGGAAGCTGTGGTTCATCCTCTCCTGAAAAAGCCATCTCTGGATCTGGCCGAATTGGCTAATTACCGTCCAGTCTCCAATCTGCCCTATTTGGGCAAAATAATTGAGAGGGCCATGGCAATTCAGCTACAGAGCTTTTTGGATGACACTTCCATTCTAGATCCTTTCTAGTCCGGTTTCTGCCCAGGCCACGGGACGGAGATGGCACTGGTCACCCCTCATGGATGACCTCCGGAGGCATCTGGATCAGGGCGGATTGGCAGTGATATTGCTGTTGGACCTGTTGGTGGCATTCGACATGGTCAACCATTAGTTACTGATCCACTGCCTCGCTGACACTGGAGTCCAGGGGCCTGCCTTGCAATGGCTGGCTTCCTTCCTTCAGGGTCAGGGACAAAAGGTGACACTAAGGGAGCAGTTATCCCAAAGGCACCCACTGATTTGTGGAGTGTCCCAAGGGGCAGTGCTGTCCCCAATGTTATTTAGCATCTACATGTGCCCCCTTGCCCAGATTGCCCAGAGGCATGGGCTGGGATGTCAACAGTATGCGGATAACACCCAGCTCTATCTGTTGCTGGGTGGCCAGTCTGACTCTACACTGGAAAATCTAGACCGGGTGTTGCAAGCCATGGCTGGTTGGCTCAGACTGAGCCAACTGAAACTGAATCCGATGAAGATGAAGGTCCTGTGCCTGAGCCGGGGTGGCCCAAGGGTAGGGATCCTATTTCTGACCTTCGATGGGGCACCATTGGTGCCAGTGCTGGAGGTTAGGAGCTTGGGAGTGCTCCTGGATGTCTCACTAACAATGGAGACCCAGGTAGCAGCTGCTGCCAAATCAGCCTTTTACAACCTCCGGCTGATTAGG